CCCTACTACTACCCCTACCACTACTAATACCCCTACCACTACCCCTACCACTACCCCTACCACTACCACTACCCCTACCACTACCCCTACCAATGCTACTACCATTACCACACCACTACCACTACCACTACCACTACCACTACCACTGGGGCATGTGAGGTCACAGACTATCAGATTAACTGATAAACTAAAAAAAAGTTCCTAACCCTTCTCCTACTCGCGTCATTCCATTATTCTTAATCGTATTTGGTTGAACTGGCGCCTTGTGACAAATGTGGCGCATTGCGACAAAGCTGGTGCATTTGTACTTGTCGTTTTGTCATGCATCCTTCCACCGAATTGCACGTTTATCGGACCATATTTGACAAAGTTGTGCGATTTGCGGCAAAAATAGCGCATGTGGACAAATGTGGCGCACTGCGGCAAACGCGGCGCATTTGTGTAAGCGCATTGAAAACTGTCTTTATTTACCAAAAATCAACACCTTCATTCGCCTCTGTTTAGCAAAATAAATAAGCTGCCAATCTGCAAATGAGAGGCACCCGCCGCCGATCGTCATGCATTTTAGTTGCAAAATCCATTGAACCCGGCTGCCGATGCCTTGAAGACTGAGCAAATTTGAGAGGAAATACGCACTTTTCCAGGGCGTGCCACGTGCGAACCATCCACCCCCCGAGATTCGAAACACGACACTGCACGTTCCCGTGACGTCATCAACACCCTGCGAAAATTTCAGCCCCATCGACCGCACCGTTTGACCTGTGCACGGCGTCAAAGCACCCCTCTGCACGGTGCAAACAGACAGAAACACATACCTACAGACAGAGTTTCATTTCACAAATAGTATAGTAGATTTTTTAAAGCCATTTCAGCTCTCTTATCTGAATATCAATCGACAAATTTAGAAGGCATTAAACTTTGGAATGATATTTTAGCGAGGAGAAGTTCGCTATTTTTGCAATATCTTCTAAAAATAGATATTGTAAGTACAACAAACGTTTAGTAGCTACATGTACTTTTTATGCACTTACCTTGCCTGGATATGGAGAAAAGATGTGCACAATGCACATTGGCGTGCGACCACGAAGAGTGATCAAGGTCAGATGCATGTGCACTGCGCTGTGTCTTTCTCGAGCCCAGCCAAATCTATTTAATGAAATGTTTTCTTTCAAATTTGCATCAGTTGGCTTGAGGGCGAAATTTTCCACTATTGCCTTCGGCCCTCTCCTGCATTGAGTGAGAAGTTGCTGTGAAACTCCTTTGAATTCCAGCTTCCACTTTGTACCAGCACATTTTCTCACCTGTCTTTGAGGAGCGCTTATTCCCTGCCATCGTCAGGTTTCCATCAAATAATAATTCTTGTCGACTCAAGTTTTTCATTAAAGTGCCTTCTTGCTGGCTGGCGAGAGGTGAATATGGTCCGGAGGCAAACAAATTGGCTCTTCACCCTGATGCTGGCAACCCTACAAAGGCGCCATAGTTCCACTAGCGCAACTTGTGAGAAACTTCCTCAGGGCGGCGCGGCGAGCAGAAGTTGTTAATGGTGACACGAAAATGGGGGCATAAATGCGCCTGAGCACTTTGCTAAGCACAAACACGAAGACGAAACAAGACAGGATGAGAGCCTTGTAGCAATATTCCCAAATAAAATAGCACGCTTTTGCTTTTGACATAGTCCGAAACAGTATTTGACTTGTCTTCTCTTGTGAAAGTAAACCAGAACAAATATAGTCAGTGTCATGTAATGAATAGCATAGTTTGGAGTGATGAATCCATTATGTAGCCATCTATTCCAAGTGCATATCTCAACTGTCTGGCGTACCCCGAGGAAAAAAAACGCTGCGACTGTCATCTCGCATTAACCCACACCTGTCTCCAGTAATTCATGTTCACGGGTATCTGCACAAAGCTCGGGTTGGACTGATGACGTCGGCGGCAGTTCGGCCCGTGGCTGGCTGCGGCTGACAGCAGGCCTGTCTCTGATGACCGACACAATCGGCTCTGACCGCCTGAACTGACCCGTCCACAGCTGCGCGGACCGGCCCCGCGGCAACAGAGGATTCGGCGGCATACTGAGCATCCCACGCGCTCACTGAATGGAATGGATCGTTAATGGGGAATGAGGTGTATCTAGTGGGGGGGGGGGGGGAAATAGGACGCTATCGGGAAAATCACCTGAACGAATGTCTATTATCTTGTGAGGAAAATAGCCGTTTTCACGACGGGCTATCCGGCGAATGCACCTAATCTGACAAAATCTGCACCTAATTTCTGTTACAGAAAATACCTTCGTATGGTGAATTTACAGTGTTTTAATCGATGATACTCTCTGACAATATGACAAAGCAGGCATATAATCAATTAGCGTAACCCTAGCTCATAGCTACTAAGAGATACACTGAACCTAATTTGACCAAATCTGCACCTAATCTGCACCAAATGTGCACTAAATGTGTACCAGATGGCCGTCGTGAAAACGGCTAGTATGTATGTGTGTTCATCTTTAAGTTTGTTTCTTACTTGCTTCTTTGCAATGACAAGTTACAGAGAAGTACATAGAAAGAAGTGCCAGTGGAAGTTTATTTCTAAACGGAAGTTTTGTAACAGAGCCTGCGGAACATGCTGGTTAGACCAAAGGACAGGCGGGAAAAAATTCAAAATACTGGGGTAGTCTACCAATATGAGTGTGAATGTAACAAGGTTTATATTGGGGAGACGTGTAGAAGTATAAGGGCTAGGGAAGCTGAACACAAGAGAGCGATACGGAACGACAACCACTCTGGCATTTCTAAGCACGTCATTGAAACCGGTCACTCCATCCTATGGGAAAATGTCAAAATTCTGGCGTATGAAACAGACTGGAGGAGACGTAAGATTAAAGAAGGGATATTCATAGAAAGAGCGAAGGGTAGAGTTTTAAATACGAAACCCGGTGTACCGCTGGCAAATGTGTACCGTGTGCTGAAGTAGTGAAAAAGTGCAGGGTGTCTCTATGCTGGGACCTGCGGAATTGTAATATGTATACTTGTATGCATGTTTGTTTCGCCGTTTTGACGATTTGCTTATGATGTTGAAGCGCATGTGATAGGCATGTGTCTTTTTATCGTTGCTGACGTCTGTGATATTACCTGATGTTTTCACTCTTCATCCAAGAAGCGAAGACTTAATTTAAGCATGTGACCACATAATTTTGGAAATTTGAATGTGTGCCACTTATACGTATCCGAACGATGTTTAATATCACGAAACGAACGACTAGGATGAATTGTTAATTTTGATTTGATTCTATGTGTGTCTAACTGTCTAGGCTGAGGAAGAAAGCCGCAGTGCTTTCGAAAGCTACCATAAATAAAAAGTACCTGGTGTTTCGAATATTCGTCCTAAACATGATTCCTTCCCAGGTGAATAACAATATTTATCATTAAACGGAAGTTTATTTCTAGCATGGTTCTACGTTTTCGTTGTTTCACTGAACTCTCTACGCCCCCAGCCAAGTCGCGTTCTGTTTACACTCGCCGTGAGTGGGGCCTGTAGCCGCGGCTGTCCGCGCCCCGGCGGTGCTGCGGCGCTCCTTTGTGCTCGCACCGTTCGACTGTGCGCCGAGTGGGGGTGATTCGCAGAGCTTTGACGGCGCCTTTTATCCCCACCGGCGAGTCTCGGGGTGCCGGCCGCTGATAGCTGCGCAGGCGGCTCTGTTTGTTCACCTCTCTGGACCGCCGCTCGCCGGTGAGGGTCGGCGGCGGGTCCGACGACCGTTCGTCGCACCGCCGGCCGGCGAGGGAAGAGCTACATAGTAGCGATGGACTTGAACTGCGCGGAGGGGTCTGAGAGCTCAGTCGGACGCCCGCAGGCTGGACTCGAACAATGCATACTAATGCTAGGAGATCTACGTGAAAAGGATCACAGTGAATACCTACAGGTGCTTGGTGTCCATACTCAATACAGGGACGAAAGTCGCATAACCAACATTCGTAACCCACACTATACATCACCTCGCCTGTTGTATTCCAAAGAGTGGTGCCCAGCTGAGCTCAGGTAAGGTCAGGCAGACGTTTTCGAGTCTGGACAGAGCTGAGCCGACGCTCGGTATATGGGACCTTGTCACGGTCCATACCCGCCCCTCAGCGGCTCAGCCGCCGCCAGCCGGTCGCTGTCGGTCTCCAGGGGTCTCCCGTGTGCTCTCCCGTGCTCTCCCGGCCTTTCCGACCGAGTTTCGAGTTGGTTACCTTCCATCCACCGCACGCCATTTGCTGTCCGTCGTGCTCCCAGCTAATTGAGTGTTTGGGTGAAGTTGTCTTCCGCTGCAGCGCGGAAATTCCAAATAGATTCCAATAACATTTATGATGCCACTGCCACAGGCAGCGCTGCTCTGAGTGCTCAGGGTGTTTACTGTTACCCCCCCCCCCCCACATTTTCAGATTCGCTATGTTGCTGACATGACGGCAATGCAACGTCTCCTTTTTATACCTTTGTTTTCAATTGTTGTTCAGGCTAAGTCATAACTACGGTTCCTGCTGCTCTTATAAATTATCATTATTAGGTAATTTCATTAACATGTTAAAATTATCACATATTTCTCTACGAATCAGGTATGATTTGCATGGTGTGAGCAAGCACGCGGGCTTGGAAGTGCTACGAACAAATTCTTTTTAGTACACATCAACAGCTTTTACCTTCTAATCCAATTTAATTATAGCTAGGTATTCGTCCACGCTACGAAAACACACTTGTCGGAGTTGGCAGGTATGTTCTCGTCAGGTTTCAAACAACACTCAACATTTCTCATCAGTACTCAAGTGCACAGGTACGTACAAAAAGTCTCTTGAAACGATTTTCTCTTACGGACACATCCTATAATTTCCGATTTCTCACAGCGTTCGCTGGTGGCTGGGCCCAATACCCCGCATTACGTCCGTCCAGCGTGTGTCAGGTTCCTCCAATATCCGATAGGCGATGTCCAGCGGCCGACGGCAGTGCTCTCACGTCCGGTCCCATTTCAGGAGGTGTCGATATTCGTGTTCGAGAAGAAGATTGCCGAGAAGGTGTACAAGCCCAAGCGGCGGGAGACGGTGACGGAGCTGCTGCGCGCCGGCGTCAAGCAGCTGGAGCGTCTGCGACACCCGCGGATCCTGCAGGTCAGCGGGACAGGGGGGACGAAATGGTGGGGACGGAGACCTGCAGGTCAGTCAGTGGGACGGGGGGGACGGAATAATGGGGACGGAGACCTGCAGGTCAGTGGACCTGTGGGGACGAAATGATGGGGACGGAGACCTGCAGGCATGCTAGTGGACCTGTGGGGATGAATAAGAGGGACGGAGACCTGCATGTCAGTCAATGTGTTTCACGATGGACGGAAACCTCTTGGGAAGATAGACAGGGCTGCACTATTAAGAAATGATGAATCATTGAATTGCACTAAAGCGGACCAGTACTCAGTAGGCCTATAGGTACCGACATTTTATGACAACCATGTCCGTACGTGCAAAAATAAACATATTTTTGCAAAAACATTATTTTGCACTGAAGTCAGTCCATGAACTTAGTGACATTTAAAACAAAAGGGATATTAATTTAAAACATCTACATATGTTTTAGTTCGGCAGCTTTTGTTAAAAAGAACCTCAGCCGTTGAATAAGCATGACTATACATTTTGAATCCCATCTGGCTCCTGAAAGGCTCTGCCAGCTTAATGTCGCCTTTGCACTTAAGGCTCTGGCTTAACCCGCGCCCCACTGGGGTCTGCCTATAACACGCCCTACTGGGGGGGGGGGGGCTATTCAAAGCCCCCCCCCCTCCTAACTCCGAAACTACTGGGCCGATCGTCAAAATTCAAACGGCGTCTGATAGCCCCGGAAAAACTGTCGAGCGAACCCTAATTTCATTGACCTCGAGGTCACCGATGACGTCACAGGTCAGGTCAAGGTAAAAATTATTAGCGTTTTGGCTTGTTCACGTTTTGGGCTCTGACCGCCGTCTTACAAGTCAGATAAGGCTCATTTTTGGTTCACACACTCGTGAATAGATGCTCTAGATACCCTGGGGGTACCAAACTTGTATTTTGATTTTCAGGTCAAGGTCAGGTCATCACAGGTCACGAACATATTTTATCATGCGTAGGTCACGTGACACATGTTTTATGGTCCATTTAGGCCAAAGATTTCCAATTTAATGTCGTCTGTGTCATTCGAGGTCATTTTGAGTCGAATTTAGCCTAGGTCAGGTCACTTTCAGGTCAAAAAAGGTCAAATATTGAAGTTATAATTTTTCAACAGAAAAGGTGTCTATTGGATGCAGTTTGAGCTCAGGAACACGATGGTGCTATTTATATTGGCGTACGATGTCAAATACGTGGCGAAAAATTGATTTGAAAAATTAATAATTGTGAATTTTTTGCAATAATGCGTATAACTTGGCCATTTTTGAAGATATTTAGCTAAATCTTGCTAGAGTTAGTCATAATAATGCGTTCTATCACATATATTCCGGTTTTTTTCGAAAAGTCAAAAACTTTTTGAAAAAAATGAAAAATGTAAATTTTGAATTTTATTATAGGTATAGAATTTTCGAAATTTTCAAAATTTAGAAAATCTGAGATAGCAGTTTGATAGCGCAGTCTATTCTGAGTCCTCTCATGCAAAGAAATTGGATCTAGCTTAAAAACTGAGCCCTTGGGAGCGATTGCCGTGGTTCGATGTTTTGCGTCGAAATCGGCCGAACATGACGTCACTCTGACGTCATTTCCGGCCGACCTATGGTAGCTACGAAGTTCAAATTTTGACACAAGGTGTCAAATTGATGCAGCCGAAGGTACTGAAAGTTTGGCGTCGATACGTCAAGCGGTTTGGAAGTTATTGCAGAAAAACGGGAGGGGGGCTATAAATAGCCCCCCCCCCCAGTGGGGCGCGGGTTAAGAGATACAAGTAGAGGCATTATGAATAAGTCAATAGAAAAGCGAAAAGTGAGAATCAGTTCAATGTAGTGGAAACATAAGTAGCTAAATTCATACATTCCATTGCATTGCTTCTTACGATAACATTTCGTTTTTTTTTTTAATGATAGGTGCTTGACCAGCTGGTTCGGCCTAAACATGAACAAATGCAATAAGATCGTGGTTCTTTGACGATATTTCAGTCGCCTTGAAAGGATATAGTTCTTTTTTAACATGGGGGTTTGAACTGGAATAGCAGTTTTGTAGCTTGAGCTGAGACTAGCACAAATCAGAAGTTTTTTTTCGGCCCAACGATCGCTCTAGGGCCTAGGGCGATCGTTGGGCCTAGGCCTAGGAGACCTATAGGAAAAGATATTCCATTTATCGTTCCGAAAAGAATGTCCTAAACGGAAAAGTGGTGTCCTAATGAATACAGATCATTTAGATCATTTTGATCATAAAGATCATTTTAAGCATAAGAAATCATAAATACATTGCAAAACAACTATTTCTGGAAAGTGAAATATTCCCTTTAAGGTGTTTTACCAAGAACGCACAAACCAGACGTGTTCTTCTTAAAAAATATGTGCTGATTACGATCCAAAGTCCCACTAGTGGCTCACAGTCCCACCATCTCACAGTCCCAACATCAGCTCACAGTCAAACTCACAATCCCACTAGCTCACCGTCCCACCAGCTTACAGTTCCACCAGCTCACAGTGACAGCAGCTCGCTGTCTCACCAACTCACAGTTCCACCAGCTCGCTGTCTCACCAGCTCACAATCCCACTTGCTCACCGTCCCACCAACTCACAGTTCCACCAGCTCGCTGTCTCACCAGCTCACAGTTCCACCAGCTCACTGTCTCAGCAGCTCACAGTTCTATCAGCTCGCTGTCTCACCAGCTCACAGTGACAGCAGCTCGCTGTCTCCCCGCCGTCCCGCCATTGATTCGGTCCGCTCCCCGCTCCGCTCCCCTCCCTCTCACACGGCACGGCGTTAGCGGGCGCCCTGTGCCCGCGGAGCTGATTAATTGCCGAGCGATACCGGACTGTCGCCGAGTGCCGCGTGCCGCCGCCGGGCTGACGGATGGAGTCCCAGACCCGACATTCAAGGAAGTAATACTGCGCCGACCGGCTAAATGAACGGCGTACCAGTTACTTTTGAATCAAGGAAGTGCTGGAATAAGTGAGGGATTTAAGATTAATTCCACGAAATTGTAGGGACTAATTCCTGCCAATCTGCAAGCCAGTGGGATTTCGAACCCAGTGGTTAACAGTTGGCTGGTCTGTTTTGATAACGAGTGTGCCGGGACGTGGCGATAATGAAACCGCCGAGAGCCGCAGAAACACAAACATAATCATCGATCATGCCGCGCGGGTACTGCAATAAGGGCCCTTGCCGAGCCACCTGAGCCGCCAGGGACGCTGCCGGGGAGCGGTGTAACACGCGCCGACCTCGCCGTGATATTGGTATAGTGTGTGGCTCCGGCGGCACGGCGCTCTTATCCCAGCTGACGGGCACTTGAGCCGCCCGGTGCCGCGGAAAATGGTTTGTGATGTGCATTCAGCAACCACCAACGGCTGTGGGAAGTACCATAAAACAAAGAAACAACTAAGAAAGAAAAAAAAAACAAAACAAAGAAACACAGTATCGACGAACAGCCCTCATTTCACTGCATGGTAGCTATTCCTTTTCTTGCAAAACCAATAATACCTCAAAAGCTTTGTTGTCAGGCGATCAGAAACCATAGCACGGAGACGCGCGATGCTTCACTTTCCGATTGGGTCTATCGTTAAACAGATTATGCGGCCAAACTGGGCGTATTTTTTTTTTTTTTATAAACGGAGGAGCCAAATCCTAAGCATGGAGCCTCGCGTATCTTGATGTTATAATTTCCCCGTGACCGATAATACACCTAGCCATAGATTTGTTTTGGTTTTAGAAAATACCAACCACGCAGTGAGACAGGCCTTGTGCCTCGAGGCGTCCCTTTTACAGCTTTTAGCCTCTGAGGCTAAACTGGTTACGCGGAGTTACATTTTAGTAGATATCAGCATACGCATAGGAGTTTTTTTTAAAGAGTAGTCTGATACAATTTTATGCGAGGCCCTAGCTATAATGAAGCTAACGTGAACTCCACCATCACATACTGTTCACCGTATTCCTTTTAAAACTTAAAAGTGATTTGGCACAAGCTTATAAATGAAGAACTACATGGAAATGACTCCTAATCGGTTTATCTGAATTCCCGATGACGTTTCAAGGATTATCGTGATGCTTTAAAGCTAGGAGCTTTGGCGCTCACTATGCGATTGGTGTTAACTGAATTTTAAATTTGGATGTGTCTAACTAAAAACTTGACTTCTTGCCGCTGTCGAAAAATCGTGTTAATCACGTCTCCATATTTCTTCTCCTGACTGGTGGAGCACCCTAACCAAATACATGTGTGTGTGTGTGTCTTTCCCTTTGTAGTCCGTCGTCTGTCCGCCGGTGGTGCAGAATAATCTCTTCGACTGTTGTCCGTCTGCCCTCAGGTGGTACAGTACTCTGTCCAACTGTTGTCCGTCTGCCCTCAGGTGGTGCAGTACTCTGTCCTACTGTCGTCCGTCTGCCCTCAGGTGGTGCAATACTCTGTCCTAATACTGGCGTCTGTCTGCCCCCAGGTGATACACCCGGTGGAAGAGTGCGCCGAGACGCTGTCGTTCGCCTCGGAGCCGGTTCTCGCCTGTCTGGCCAACGTCCTGACCGCGCCGCCAGCCGACGGCGAGAAGACTGACACTGACAAACAGGGCTTCTCCAGAGACTACACCTTCCTCGACGTAGAGCTCAAATACGGCATACTGCAGGTGAGCAGAGTACTGCAGCGTGGTGACACTTTTTGTGAATTTCCTTACAACACTCCTGACGGCGATGGCCAGCGGTTGGTGGAAGCAACCGCAGCCAGTTGAAGTTAGCTGAGTGGGACAGGCCGTGCCCGACTTTGATGGGCACGCTAAACTTTGGCATCTAAATACTTCCATTACCCGGAATTACGCGATCGGACGGTAGCGGTGCCAGTCTACGTAACAAGCTCTGCTTAGCGTGGGCTCCGACTGTCAATCCGTCCATTCAAACATTCGAGCTAAATTGATAAAAAAAAGCATTCCTTTCAGCCAGAAGGTACGTAGAAACCACGCCCGTGCTGCTAAAGATGGTGACTAATTGAGAACGCGTCTATATATCGCCAGACATAGCGCAATAGGTGCTGTCCTCCGACACGGTATTTGTTGTGTGGCACGTGCATTGTTGGCTTTGGCCTGTACCCATCGGCGGTGCGTCTGCTCCCCCGGGTGGTCTGCTTGCGTCAGCTACTTCCCCCTAACAAGGTGGCAACTGGCAATCATTTGTTGAACAGCGTGCTGACGCAACACTACATGAGGCGGATCTATCCCCGTTTGGGGCCTGCTAGTTAGCTGCGACTGGCAACACTTCGTCGCTTCTTGTTATATTTATTATTAGTCACTATCATCGTCATTTTGAAGAAAGCGGGATGAAATACAACTTTCCCTGACATATCTGCCTTTTGAAGCCGTGTTAAATCATTATGGTTCACGCACTTTGCGCTTGGAGCAAAAAATTGTAGGATTTGCTGTTGAAATCGTGGTTGAAACCTGCAAGGAAATGATGGGCATTGGGCATAAGGTCTCGGTCAGAATATGTTAGGCATTGATCGTGGATTTGAAACAATATGAAAGCCCTAGTTAGGTATCAATGGTTCTCAATGTCGCTTCGCATTTGCTACTGCGCTTAGGTACATTACACTCACATATAATTACTTCACATTATTTTATATCTGTCAAGTAAGGTTATGGTGTGTTGGTTCGCGGCGTTTCACCACCGTTCTGCGCAAATGGCGACATGAGTGAGCACTTGTTCCCAAAGCCAGCTCTCTCGTTTGGCTGTGCCCTTCTACTTTAACCGCACATCCGAACTTTGCCTCTATTTGTCACAGCAGCATCATAAATTATGTGTTCTCCTGCTGGAAGCCGACAGCCCACTTGCGGCGCCGCTCTTTCACGGCGGCCACCTCATTTGCTCTCGGTGCATCTATCGTCGTCGCCCTAAGTCGCCTGTCACGGCGGCTTTCCTCTGGGGGTGTCACCGTGTTCCAACTCAGCCGTCGGGCCGGGCGGAGAGCAGACGGGGATAACCGAGGAAACGAAACAGGCAGAACAGGGAGATAGAAATGCTGAATTGAAAGATCAAAGACCCAGCGGGAAAACCGGTCGAGGAAACAGGTGAGAAACCGGCGGCCTGCGCGCGGACGGCGAGCCACGGCGCGCCGCGGCGATCAATGGCGCGGTGCGCCGCGTTCCTCCAGTCACGGTTGCGCCACATAACGTCGCGGTGCGATGCAATAGGCGGCGGCTGGGACGGGCGAAAGACACTCGCTTCTGTTAGTATGGCGATATAACCATAACTGGAAAGACCGTTAGCCTCGCGGCGTTTAGTGATTCGCACCGCGGTGTGCATAGATTCAAAAACAGTCACTATTTTTTCCGTATTTAAAGTCGACGAGTTTAAATGCTCAGATATACAATATTATGAGCAAAGTTCTAGCTACGTTAATAAGAATTAAATTTGCCGATCATACAAAAAGAAGTACCTAAGACAAATATTGCTATTTTACCAGCCAACATTCCAAAATTTGTTTTGCAATGATGGCTATGAACTAGTTACCTGACGTAAGTAACTACATCCAGATAAGTAACTACATCCAGACGTAAGTACCTAACTACATCCAGACGTAAGTAACTACATCCAGATCTCATGCAAAGTCTTTCGACGTTTCGGGGCCTGGCTGACGCAATGCCGGGCATTTGAATAACACCAATAAAGTAACAAATTTTGACTTCAAGTGAGTTTTTATTAATGGTGTTTGCTTTTATGCAACTACTCAAAGTTAACGCATATACTCAGGCTTAAAGTAAGAAGGCAAAAAAAAAAAACTGCGTTTAACCCTCGCCGGCCGAGGGGTGGGGGGCGGATGCCGCCGCATCCCCCCCCCCCCTAGGCTTTTTTTCACGATAGCTCCGAGCACGCTGGCGATAGAGAGCTGAAACGTGGCATACCTGACCTTTAATTCAAGCCGGATCTTTTTACACCAACTGAATTTTCGGGTCAGGTTAGGTCACTGACCTATGACGTCATAAGTGAACCTCTGCACGGTCTTCAGGTGTCGCAACTTCGCAACACCCTCACTGCCAGAGGAACTTTCACAGGGAAATGAAACTTGTAGGACCTAATATCCATTAAGAGTCTCACAAGTTGCATATCTCGGATTTTCCTAAAGGTCATATGAGGTCAGGTCATTTCCGTGACCTCACGGCGGTCACCATTATAAGCCTATGGGGAAAATGAAAAATGCTATTCTGCCACCGGAAACGATCTCCAACTATCTGAAGCACACAGAATCGTGATTTCATGCACTCCACGCAAGGTTCGTTGCGTCGCTTTTGCAATGTTGACCTTGCATGACGTCATTTATGACGTCATTAGGGTCATATAAGTTTTTCGTCAATAACTCCCGATCAAATTGAGCTAGCGAGTCAGGGAAAGCCACCATTGGACTCAGGAAGTCCTGCCAAATCGAATGATATGCGACATGACCCCTTTTGACCAATTTCGTGACATGGGGGCGCTGACCTGGCCGTGACCCGAGGTCAACACCCTAAGTTGACCTCAACCAAACAAAAAGTATGTCATTCGACGTACCTGAGCGAGACGAACACGATGCTGCCAAAATCGCGGCTCTGCGGCCGTTTGTAGCGAACTTATTTACAAAAAACGAAACCGTGCCTTGGGGCACTTGACCTGTCCTCAGAGGTCATCGGTTGCCCTAGGACGTCAAAATCTTGTACCAATCTTTGCGTCTCGTAATAGCGCACACGCTCGTTTTTTCCGCGACGCGCTAGCTCCACCAGGGGCGAAACGGCGAGGGGGGTCGTACCCCCCCCCCCCATCGGCCGGCGCGTACGTAGAAAACCAATAGGTCCGGCGAGGGTTAACGTAGACATCAATTCTGTTAAAAAATGCAAAGGCAAGTTGAGTTTAAAAGCTTTGGTGCAATCGACCATCAAGTTGTATTGGTTAGGTGAATGTTTATGACACCGCATTTAATTTCGTCAAAATGAATTTTTTAAACTGACCTTTCAGTCTCACACAGCGTAATCACTAAAACTGTAGCAGCAATTAGCCCAATCAATTTGTACCTCTTCAAGAGAAATGCCATTCATTATTGCAATTTCATGGATGGCTCAGAAAGAAACTTCTTTATAGACGGCTTTGGATATGAGAGCTGAAGGACGCGGAGGTAGCCACCCAAGGTTTCCTGCAGCAATGTTCCTTGGGAGGCCGTTGCCGTCCGGTTACCTGTGTTTGACTCTCCCTAGCAGCAGCAAACTGAGTCTAGACTGAGCCTAATCGGATTGTGGTGTGGAGCTCGGTGATCCCACAGACAGCGGTCGAATGGCGGACGCCGCTGAACTTTGAACCAACGGTCAGAGCTGCTTATGTATGGAGCTCACTGAAACATGCATGGCGGAGATGGGCTGTTCAAAGCCGCCCTAACCCACCATTGACTAGGATAACTGGGATGTAGGAGGGGGGGGGGGGGCAACTAAACGCTGTCTGTTCGCGGTAACCCGAGAACCAATCGGGTACGACGACCAGAAAATCTGTGTTCCTTTCCTCACATCAATTGTGTAATGTGTACTTACCTATGATTGGAACAGGATACGGGCATTAGGGCATCCATTAGGGACGCCAGCGATTATCGCCATTCTCATCAAGAGAGAAGAGTCGATGGGTAAAATTGATCCGTGCGAGAATTTCAAAACAATTTTCGGTACGTCTAGTTTCGGTAATTTCCTTTCCAGCCAATTTCATTTCGGTAGGTGCCCCACTCCTCCACTATATCATTTTTGCTATTTGTTTTAACCAATATATATTTGTTCTGTTGCTCCGCTCGGTCTCTGCACATGAAAGTAATTTTCGTTCTTGAGGGCCGCAGTGCCAGAGAGCCCAGATGGCCACTGCAGCGACTACACGCCGCAAACCGGCTGTTTACAGCACAGTTTCACGAGGCCATTTTGGCGCGCGTATTGCGCGCGAACGGGCGGCGTCCCGCGCCGCCCCGGACAGCCTGATGAGCCCACAGTCCGCGCGCCAATGGCCCTCTCGGCGCTGTTTTCTGCCGCGGCGAGCTTTATTTGGAAACAGTTGTATGATGTTATGAAGGTTTTGATTTATGTCGTGCGACGAAATGGGATTTTTATACTTTCAATTTAGCGTTATGTTCCTTGAAGTGCGGCGTAATGCATCTTTGCAGAGCATTTAATTATCTTAGAGCATTGCATTAAGGTCGAAGTCGACTTATTGCAATTAAATTTCAAATATGAAAGCTATAACCCTCCTCAAACAAGTGACTACAAACTAGCTTTTAACTTTTGGAAACGTCGTTCAATAACAATTATCGGCTCGTTTGGCCAAAACTTCTATAAGCATAAATTCACACTTCAGTACGCTAACATTTACCATGACTGCCTTGTGTTGTTTGCACTGAAAACTCAGTGCTGTGTCATTGAACAATGAACATTAAAACTCAGTTGTTGGCTCGACAACGGTCCAGGGCCCAATCTTACCAAATGCCGTGAATGCGCATTCACGGCATTTGATAACATTCAGAACTATTCCACATTCACTTATTCATTCGTTGAGGCAACATTCATAATCATTCACGCTATGAGAATCATTGGACAAGATAAGCTGGATGTAAATAAAAGGATATCTTTGATATCAATGCCGT